AATGTGCTCTACACTAACCAGAAGGACTCGGAGCAAGAGCAGAAGAGACAAGCAATGGTTCATTGCTCAGCATAAGGAAATGAACTCGGGAGGGTTCTTAGCATAATTAAATCAATAGACTAAATATTTCACCTGCTTACCAACAACTCGGTACAGCATTTGGCCCGTTCTCTCTCTGCCCAGTTACACAGCACTGAACCCACCGAAGTGAAGCAGATTGGTCTGACCGTGGTGTATTTCAGCATTATGCCCAGCACCTTTATTTTCAGATGTTTATCTGCAGCTGGAAGATCTCCAAGACTAAAATTAACCCTGGATCCTCGCAGATCCATGGGCCGTTGTCCCTGCCCAGGTCATTCTTGTAAGCAAAGCGTGTGTTTGCACAGGGTCCTCCTGAAGCAGCTCTCCTTCCTTCACACCTCCAGAAGACCTAAGTCAGGGGGCACCGTGCAGAGCCTACTTTCTGCTCCAACACAAGGAAGATGTTGCGGATTGGCAAACAAACACAACTTTGTATTTTTTCCACCTGGATAGAATCAAAATCACGGGGACACTTGGGAACCAGTATGAAAGGGTGGTTAATCATCCCTGCTGCTTCAGGTCTCCTGAGTGAAATGGAGCTTCCAAGCGCCCAGTAGAGGTGGCTGCATTGGCCATGTAGTGGCAAGGCTACTAAAAATGATTGGTTTCAGAATAAGAGAACCCCTGCTACAAAGGGGAAGCTGAGATAGACAGAAAGTGTCTTAACCATAAGTCTCACCCGCACGTCCCAATTCCTCCCAGCCCATAATACTCTTTCCATTTTAGTAATGCAAGCTTTCCATTTAATTGCTTATGTGGTCATTCATAGAGCCTGACACCTGCTTTGTAAGGCATGGATGGACTCAGCTTTTGTACTATCCATCTTTCCCACTGGGGCTTTACCAAAATTAAGCCTCACAAGACGCAACATATTGCAGTTTCACCTCTCAGTCTCATTTTCTGATACTTTCAGAAGAGGTGTATAGAGCCCGACATCTGTTGCGGGCAGAAAAAGGCTTCAAGGACTTAAAAAGCATTTGGGAAGAGGTTCTCAAAGGTCCACCTTGACATATCTCAGTTGCAGGGGAATCCAAGCAGTCGGTGGGACAGCTACGTAGCTGAACACCTGCCTCGTCTGCACAAGTCCCGCTGGAGCTCGCGAAGAGCCGAGTGTCCAAAGCATTTTACCTTCACCAAAAACACCTCCAAAATGTGAAACGCTTTGAGAATTTCAACCTGCTTGCCTACCCTCTCATAACAGAAATCATTTGCATGGAAAGCACGCTCGTCGTGTCTCCAAAACACAACACGAGGTAACTTTCTGCATAAAGACACACAAGGGAAGAGAAGCCCACGGCGCCGTGCCTTCGAAATTTCCCAGCTCTGCGCGGCGGCGCGGTGGGACGGCTTCCATTCAGCAGAATCCTGCCAAAAAAGCTGGGAAGCCCCTACCAGTCACTTCGCTCCTGCCGTGGGAGGGGATGCTTTCGGGCCGAGAGCCTCTCTGGGGTTTTGCTGAGCGGAAGCTCAGGGCCCCGCTCCTGCAGAGCGGTGCAGCGTGCCGTGACCCCGCGGGAAGGATTTCCAGCGTGCAGGAGCAGCCATGCGAGGCTCCCCGGAGGACGAGGGCCATGCGAGGGCCACAGCAGCTGGGGGCAAGGCTCACCAGCGGGCCTGCTGCCCCTGCAGGGCTTTCCACAGACAGTTCCCCTCCAGGAGGTGCCGGCGAGAAATGCCCTCCGAGGGGACACCTATTTAAATCAGCCTTCTTGTGTCACTCCGGTTTTCAGTTGGTTTGTGTTTCTGTTCTTTGGTTGCTTTGTTTTCGTTTACTGGGGAAAAGCATGGAAATGACAGCACTCTTTTGAAACCTGTTGTGCCAAAGGACAGTTTTAATCCATACCAAGGCATCTTGGAAGAACTTCTATTGAGTCTCCTTTCGTGCAGGTACAGATGGAGCAAAGATTTCTGCCCCGACATTTACACTGAGGCTGGCACTGCCCATGAGCTGAGCTGCAATTACAGCTCTGGCTGGGTAACCAGCTCTGCATGGCTAAGGCAGGAGTGGGTCAGCATCCAGCAGGCTCTTTGCTCCCTTCCAGCACCATAACAGTACACAACCTGCATGGATCTGACATTCCCTACTCATCTTGTTGATTAAAATATGGTGTTTAAGCATGTAAAGCTGGACTTACTGATTGCTGTTTTCGCATCCAGCCTCCTCCAGAAACCAGGGACATACTCCAGGATTTGCAAAGAAGTTTTTGGAAATTATATGCCCAACTCCAGTTGATTTTCACTGACGCTTGTTTGTGCCTCCCTTTGTTTTTCTTTTGGTTCAATTCATCCAGCATCCTGCTGCCCCAGAACCTCAGTGGGATAATTTCTCTTTTACTTGTGCACCTGTGGGTCCTACACCTACAAGCTATGCCCCTGTACCGTGGTTACTGCATAAAGCAGCAGCTTGAAGCCCAGGGAAGTCACTCACCTGCTGGTGAGCACTGTCAGACCCTGACATCCGTGCCTACAAGTGCATACCTAGGTGTGAGCCTGGGGCACATTTACCTGGCTCTTCAGCCACACGGTACCACAGGTCTGCAAACAGTTGCTCTTGCAAGGGATAAAGCCATCTGTTTCTAGACTGAACATGGGATGCTCCATCCAATACGTGGGGAAAGCTTCACCCACACCTCAGAAGCTACCTGCAGACTTATTGCCCATCTCTCCGGGATGCCCTTTTGCTAAAATACACAAATATCTCATTTTAAGACTAAGTATAATGAAACTCCCTCCGCGGCAGAGGAAAGCTCTCCCTATCTCCTAGGTGGGGAGCAGAGCAGGGCAGTGTTTTTACGCTATGACATTAGCCCAGGGCTCATGCAAGCAGACACCAAGCTCCCTGGGCACCCAGACTGCCTTTTTATTAACTGAAGTCTCGAGCAAGCCAATGGCTTGCATGTGGGCACTGGGACTTGGTGTGGTCCCAGGTGTTTTGAGCCAGGTGGCGCAGGAAACTTGAGGCCACAGCTGGTCACACTGCCAGAGACTACAGGAGCACCAGAGAGACCACATGCAGACTCACAGAGCTACTGAGAAACCTGACTTCCACCGAAACTGCTGAGACCTGGCACGTGAATACCTGCAGGGGCCTGAGCAATCTGCCTGCAGTCGCACAGGGAGTCTCCAGCGGAGTGGGTAACTGAAGTCAAAGTCGTTACTAATGGTACAGGAAAGAAGCAAGATAATCGTTTAATGCCAGAAAAGTAATCCCATCTTTAGATTTAGCTAAAAAAACCACTAAAGGTCCATGAGACTGAGGAAGCCCAACCATGCCATGACACAGCAGACAAAGACAGCAAAGACCAACAGCGGAGTCACCTAGACAGCCACCTACAGAAATTTCCCCTCGGCTCTGTCTGATGTCGTAGTAAACACACGGCCAGGCTGATCTAGCAGCCCAGGAGCCAGAGACAAGCCTGGCTGCTCCTTCTGACTGACGTGAAAAGGCTTTCATCAGCAATAGAAGCCAAGTCTAGGCAGCTGCGGTGTCTCATGCAGTCTTTCAAAACAGCAGAAAGCAGTGCTGGAACAGCAGGCTCTGGTCTTGAGAAGCTCAGAGGGCACAAGGGGACAGGCAGGTATGGGCAGTTGTTGTCTGGAAACTCTCACAGGGGAGATGGCTGACTTCAAAATACGGGGATTTTATCTCCTCTGATGCAGGCTTGTAATTTCTGCTTACCTTTGAAAGCACTGCATGTATCAAAGAAACAATGCAAAGGAAAAATATCGTATTTTACCAATTTGGTTCTACCTAAGACATCACTTTGTTAGTATTGCTTTGTCATTGCAGTAAAGAAAAAAAAAAAACACACAAAAGACTTATACACCTCTCAGATGGAAGATAACATCTGTATCTAATCATCTTGCAGTATGTTCCACATCATATACCTACCGATTCTGAAAACAGCCCAAGATAATAGGAAACAAGGTGTGTTGCCATAGCGCTCCCACTTGCTGCTTAATACTTGTCAGACAAATTGAAATGTGATTGAATAAGCACTCAGAGCTTCTTAATTCTGGATGTTAGACTGTACAATGTCATTTCACAAATAGATATCTGAGCTTCCAGTTTTCAAAGGAAAAACGTAACAGAAGTACATAGCAGAGAAAACTGGCTTTATAGTTAATAAGCTCAGAACAACACGCACAGTAAACCCATCGCTGGATAATTACAGGTTATTATATAAAGGAGAAGAATATTAATGTTAGTTCCATATTAGATAAGTCAATGGCAAATGTTTAAGAAATAAGCTTCTTCTGCTCAGATATATTATATATATATTATTTATATTCGAGGTTAACTGAACAGCATGGTGAAGTGCCAAGGACGGCGGCAGGGCTGCAGAAAGGCACATCTACAGATCCACGCAGTGAGAGCGAGAGTTGCACAAACAGGGCAAACACCTACCTGTATCAGGATCGGTAAACTACTCGAGCAAAGGTGGGCCAAGAGGTGTAAAATTATCTTGAAAACAAGAAAACTGATTTCCTGTAAACTCATAACTGTATTGCCTTCAACTGCATCGCTCTTTAGCTTTATTATTAGTTGAAAAAAAAAAAAAGTACATATCAAAAAAGACACAGAAATAAGATTTCTCACAGGTTTCACTTTTAAAAAGGAAAATTCTCTGGTATGTAACCACTATAACCTTTGATATAATACCTGCATCCTGTTATTGTTTTTATGAATCATAGTCTTCCACTTGATTCATAATGACGAATGCCAACAAAGCAGCGATGCTGCCCTGTCTTAATATCCCTGCTGGAAAATTAGCATCATGCCTTCTCATTTGCCTCTCTTGAGACACGCCGCTCTTCAAGAGTACTGTCTCCCGTGCTATGCTAATGCTCACTTATCCACTACAATCTTCATCTTTTACCGCAGTTAGGAAAAACAAAGGCAATCAGAGCTCACTTACATTTTTGCCAGTGCATATTCTGTGGCAGGACGGAGTCTTTTTTCTCTTTGATGAAGACAGTTGGGCTTTCTAATGGCTAACGTGTGTTTGACTCCTTTACGGGGGATGTGATAACTGACTGTCAGGATGTTTCTTTCAGCTTTTTAAAAGCCCCGTGTTCCCGCTGAAGTCTGTGATGTCATCACATCCTCCAACCACAACCACTTCTATATTTTCCCTTGCTCTGTGTTGTTCTTCATGACGCTGAACAGTTCCTCCAAGACCAGGGCGCTCTGGAAGATATTATGCATAAAACAGCACTTGCTATCACCAAAATTTATTTAAACAAACAATCAAGCCTGGAACCTGCCTCTCGTGGGGTTTTTGCCGGAGATTTTTAAAAAAACAGGTCAAAGGGTTGCGCAGCAGAAAAAGCACAAGGGGCTTTTAACAGGATCGTGACCGTCTGTGGCACCAAGAACGGCCTCGTCTCACGTCGGACAGCACTCTCTGCTTCAGATGGCATAACTACAGGCTCCAGACACCTCAGCGAGCCCAAATCTTTACGTACGCCAGGTCTGCATGGCCCTTTAAATGCTCAACACTTCTAAAATACAAAACTTGTGTGTTTGCCCCTGCCTTATGAGAATCTCAACTCCCTGGGGCCACTAAATTTGAACTTATGAGGAAACACCTGTAAACACTTCAAGCCTCATTAAACGAGGACGTCCTTCATTTAAAAAAGAAACCCCTTTTTTTTTCTGTTTTGTTTTTATCAAAATATGACGCTTCCTACTAGGGAAGAGCCGGCCCTTCCAAAGCAGCTTGTGGAGCTAAAGGGAGGCCGAGAGACTTGGCATAGGCGCTCGAGTAAGTTCTTAACATTAATCATAACAGGATTGTTATACCTGACCTATTCACACCACTCCATGAGCACAGCCTCTTAAACCTCTTAACGTTGTTTCCTCTAAAATTCAGACCATCTCAGTGAGTATTCTCAAGCAGCAGTGACTCAGGAGCTTCGTTCTCAGAAAAATATTTGTTGGGGGCTGCACAGTGGCTTTAGGACTCTGCCAATCCTATCTCCCAGCTGGTTTTTAATCAAGGAATTGCTGCGGCCCTGAAGTTTACTCTCTCAAATTTCTCTTCCTATAAAATAATTAAGATGGGGTCTGGACAGTCCTTTTGGCCAGGAGTCCCTCAAAAGGGTGCCAAACACCTCTCAGAAGCAGGTCCATACTGTGAACCATTTTGCAACCTAACATTGGCATTGCATTTAAAGAAAGAAAACAAAACCAAACAACAAGCAGATTGATGAAACGAAGATGAAAGCTTAATTATTATATTCCCTTCGGTTCGAAGATTTGCCCCAAAACCACAAAGAGAAAACCTCCAAAGCAAGCAGAGTGAAGAGAAATGAGGCACATTCAGCTCCCCATCGCTGCCCTCCGCGTTCCCAGGCGCGAGGGCATTGTTCTGCCACGCTTTGCATATCTGCATTAATGCTCACTACCAGCCACACATTGTAATATCCTCTCTGCTGTTAAAGTGCTTAGTAATAGCAGGCAGCCTGTTAGCTAACGCTGCACAGATGGACAGGTGAGTGTAAATCACAGCCCAGTGTAGCCGGATAAATTGAGGAGGAATATTGAAACCGGCTTCGGTGGCATTTCACTTACACCAAGGTAGGAAGAATTTGTGGACTCTCGTCTCTCTGATACAAATATAGTGTCATGTTTCTCCTTAAAATAATGAAATAACAGAACTTCATCATCAAAAAAAAAAAAAAAGCAGCAGCCTCTTAACCTTGTAGAATTACAGGTAAATGTTTCTAACAACAGGAAATCTTTTCCCGACAAATGATGTTCTACAAAAACCAGGGCTCAATCATATATTCACATTTATTTAAGGCTCATGGCACAAGGCAATATCAGGAAGTGCTGGGAGAACTTACAGGACTTTGGCTTGAGACAACGTCAGAGCATCCAGAAGAGAGCTCTGCTGCAGTTTTCTGCTGGAAATGCCTATTTCTGACATCACAGAGCTACTGGGAAGCAGCACGGTGAACCGAGGCCTTGAGCAGGTCTCTGCCAGGAACAAGACCTCTATTTTTAAGTGTGAGAACACACCCTGCGTACATCTGTGTTCTCCAGAGCAGCAAAAGCACAGTCTGAGACTTGTACACAGCAGGCTGTGTGCATATGTGAAGGCAGACTGCATGACATTAAAGTAATATGCAGTCTCATGCTAACTTAGAGACCCATCAGCTCACATTGAACTGTGCTTTAGTTATGCTTAGAAAAGCTGAGCATAACACTGACTTACTCAGGATTAAGCTCTTTCTTAGTTTATATCAATACTTTAAAAGAGCAGGCAGATAAAGTCAGGCTGTAATAAATATCTAAAATGAGGAAGTTGCAAAAAAGGGGCATGTTTTCCACAGATAAAACAAGCAGCACTATTTTGGTGGCAGGTAATCATCCTTTTCCACATTTACCTATAGTTACTCAAAAAATTTTCAATGTATTAATGAAGAATCACACTCTCCAAAACAACTTTAGAGGTATACAAGGTAAGATATAAAGGATATAAAGGTGCGTATGGTGAGCCAACATGCCAGGCAAAAGACAAACTGTCAAATGTGGCCCTCTTCTCATTTTATGTCTTTTATAGAGAAACTATTTGGTTAAGCACCATTTTACTAACAAAGTCCAAAGGAAGAGACAAAAGTAGAGCAAAAGATGAAAAAGATTGCTTAGCAAGTATCGTCTTCGCCTCTTCCTCGGCCAACTGTTTGCAAACCATGATTCAAGTCTATAACCACGGCGAGAGCTCAGCTACGGCTAGATGATCAAACAGCACCGACAGCAGGAAGGCTGCTTGTGGACAGCTGCTCCTTTAAGACACGCTCAGAAAATGAGCTGCAGCCTGTCTGGAGATGCAAACCCAGCTGCCTCCCAGTCATTCCTTGACCAGTTCACCACGAGACCAAAGCAACAAGCAGTAAAACCTCGGTTCGGCACGGAGCATCTCTGCGCTGAGTCGGGGTGCAATTTGTCACGTTCCTGGTGGCCACGCTGCGAGTTCACAGACCAAAAGGCAGCATTAAATTTTGTCTGACCGCCACACACAGCTGCTCCACGGATAACTGGAAACAAGCTGCAAAGCTCTACATTAGAGCACCCACGCACTGCACGCAGCGTAGAGCCGGAGCTGCAAGCAGATCCCAGCGGATCCAAGCAATCGAACTCAGCAAGGATGGAAGGAGCACAAAGCAAGGATGACACAGGCTGTGTGTGCCTGATCCCCAGTTCCAGGCAAGGTGATGTGAAGCAAAGAGGGGTGCCCAGCACCGGTCTTCCCTTTGTTAGGGCTCTGGGAGTGTGCATCCACCAGGCAGCGCCAGCTAGAAAAGCAGCACCGTGGCCACAGCACCCAGAGCTCCTGGCCAGGGGGAATAAAACCAAGCACTGCTCCTACTCTGTCTGCAGGGCTGGCAACAGCACAGCCCTGTAAAATTTTCAGCACACAAACTATATAAAATCATAAGGATATGCTGCGTTTGACAGTCAGAACCTGAGCTTTACCTTAGAGATTACGAATTAGGCACTTCCTCCCCTCATCTCCTTCTTATTGTTTTATTCCCAGGACAGGAGTTGAGATCATAGGTAATTTTCTTCCAAAACTGGATTACTGCTGTTGACGGATACCTTTTTTTTTTTTTAAATTAAAAAAAAGAAAGTGTCAATATTAGCACTTTAATCCTACCATACAATGCGAGAAGTATGAATAAGCGGTAGTCTGACATTTCAGAAAGCTTTGTGGTCTGCAAATACAAACATTTGTCTTTGAGGATACAATAGCTAAATTAATAAGAGGATCTCTACCTCGGAGGTCTGAATGAGCTTAAAAGACAACCACATTTAGAAAAGGTTCTTTCTCATACTTCTTCCCTACTCAGCCAAGAGAGGGAACAGAGGAAAGGAGAAGCTGAGCCTCATTTGAGGCAGTAACAACTGGCATCTGCCAGAGCCAGAACAGACTTTTCAGCCTACAAATTCTATGTCCCACATCTTTATTTTGTTGCATGACATTATATGTGAACACACAGCAAAATAATCCAGGATCAAAGCCTACAGAGCATGAGGCCAGGATTCGTTCCAGAAAACTTATGTAAGCCGAGTCCTTCAGCTCAGGAGCATCCCTACCTCTGTTGAGCTCCCTGGGCAGCACCGAAACAACCTCCAGAGGCACGAATCACTTTGTGGAGACACTGGGGTCTTTTTAGGAGACTGCAGAGCAGGACTAGTGCAACGAGCACCCTGATTCTGATAGTTTGATTAGGCTTCAGAGGAGTGGGATGGATGAAGGTTCAATCTCGCAGCTGAAGCCCTTCCCCGCAGCCCAAATCTCCACCAACAGCAAGGAGCTGACTGCCTTGAGAAGCATGAGAGGTGCCAAAACGATGGTGAACAAGGGCAGAGGACACAGGCAGCCAGCTGCATAGCTCAGCTCACTTGTGTGTCACTCACTCACTGATGGCTCTGCAACCTTTTGAGCTGGCCCTGCCCAAGAAAGAGGAAGAACGGGGACAAATTTGCACTGTACTCCAAAACTCTCCCCTGTGATTACACCAAGGACTTTTGGAGTTTCTGGTTTGGTTTGGTTTCCACAAAACATTTACACCACAGAAAAAAATCCTTCCTAACCAGGAACTTTCACCCTTCCCAATTGCCCCAACCTAACAGCCACAAAATAAACGCCTTGCTCTTGCACAAACACACCCAAAAAATCCCTCCAGGGGCTACGAATGCCTCAGGCTGTCCCCAGGTGAGCCACTTTTCGTGCTGTACCTGCTGTACATTTAGAGAACACTGGCAAATCCTCACACACTGCTAAAGCACGTTTGAAGCAAAACGTTACTTCAGTCGACAAGAAAAAAAAATAAGTCAAAAAAGAAAAATAAAAGAAAGTTTCCCATTTTCAGCAGAAGCTGGTGCGAAGGTTACCAGGACTGCATGAGTCACAGCAGGAGGCAGATCACAAACAACCCGATCAGATAGGTTTACAAGGCAGGGCCAGAGAGACTCGATGAGTGCTGTAATAAATCTCACAAAGGCGCTCAGGATAATGCCAGAATTTACTATATGCCCTGCTGTGGAAAGGTCTAAAAGGAATGAAGACAAGTTTCCGATTCCACACACTCAGGAAGTGTCTGGTGCAGGTAGAAGATGGCATCTGCTGGCATGGCTGTTCCATCAGCTTTGGAGGTTACAGACTTGGAGGAACACAGAGACACACTCATTCTGCAGAAACCTTTCATCAGTACCCACAAATGTGTTTGTTTTCCCTTGGAATTCTGCCCTGTAAAGGCAGGTACACTGCCAGGCTGAGCCAGGAAGGGAGCTGAAGGAAGAGGAACACAAACCTCTCTATGCTACGTCTCATTTCAGGATTTCCTTCTCTACCTATACAGCTCTAGTAATGCCGAGACCCCCATGAAAACAGCTTGCTGCAAAGTCAAGAGACAGAAGACAGCTGCTGTCTCCACAAATATACTTCCTAAACAAGGCAGAGAGGAGAAAAGAAAAACTGACGGTTCTTCTTGAAGGGAGAAACTCAGGCAGCAAAGGGAAGTTCAGTGCTTTGCTCAGGGTCACATCAGAAGTCTGTATCAGGGCTGGGAACTGAGCCCAGATTTTGGGGTTAAATTTACTCACAAGACCACTCACTCATTCTGTGCTTCCTTAGGACAACGTCACCTTTTTTATAATACTACACACATTAAAACAACTATAGCACAACAAACTCCAGGTACAGCAGGGTTCGGTAATATTTTTATTTTTTTATGCGAGCCTCACACCTCCCACTTGGTCCTCAGAAGCAAGTTCTGATTCATACCTCAGTTTTGATAAGGAACAAATGAGGCAGCCTTCATACACGTTCGGCACTAGCGATTAAGTGCTTGGGCAGTGTAAATCACCGTCACCCTCATGACCTCTCAGATGCTGAGGATCTGAACCTGGGACATTCCACATCCACTCCCTGGCTTACTGCACACAGTTTTTTTCGCACTAGGAGATGTCCCTGTGCTGCTCAGGCCTAACATCAGGCACACAGGAGAGTATGAAAGCCTCCAGAAGTGCATGCAGGCACCTAAGGGGACCCATTTCCCTGTGTCCCTCAAGAAAGTTCTGAGTTTTAGGGTAGAAAGAAAGTATACATAAAAAAAATGAGCCAACTCAGGCCACTCTGCACTTGGAGACAGAGGTGAGCTCCCCATGAACAAGCACTTGCATTTACTGACACACACAAAGACCTGGAACAGACCTTTTTAGGATTTCTTTGTACTTTATACCCTTCAGAGATCATCTGGTCTGTTCCTGAGCTCCAAGATGTGATCCATTTCCTCTCCAAAGTTTTCCTGACTGCTGATACTTGCCTAACACGACTCCTTGAAGCTGAATACTCGAGCTGTTTGCAGCAGGTAGGCGCACAGGCTGTTACAGCCCTCCTGTCCCTGCCTCTCCCTTCCTGCTGCTCACACACGCCACGCTCAGCACCAGCTGCTCGCAGCCTACCCGTTCTCCTCAAACGCTCAGGGTTTGGTCTGTGAACAAGCAGCAGTCACATTTAGTTCAGAAGTTTCCAGCGCTGAGTCAGGCAGGGGGAACAACAGCACCTAACACACACCGTGTCCGTGCTGCGGGCACGATGTGAACCAACCTTGTCTGTGACAGCACCGTGACCAAGCACAGTGGCAGTGCTAAAAAAAAAATGGGCTTTTATTCTTGCTGGGACCACCACGGTGCAGCTGATGTGCACTGAAATGCCCGTCCCTGCAGCTGCTCTCTGCAACTTAGGTGCTGGAGGAGTTTGTGTAAGCCCATACATCTCACAAGCTTGCCTCTGCCTGTGGTGCTGACTGGTGATCTCAGGTGAGCTAGGGTTGGCAGCAGTTGCACAGCCTTTCCCCTTTCTGGTGTGGCTGATAAGGCAGCTGGTGGTAAGGGAGGAAAGGAGCAGGGCATCCTTGTAACTCCCCCACCTACAGCTACACCACCCTGGTGACTCGCTGGCTTCCAGGGTTGGCGCGCACCAACACAGTGAAAAACCACCCGTCCCATCTATCTGTTGAGAAATTACACACAGAACCACCCCCAAAATAAACCTGAAAATTGGCAGAAATCAGAAGAAGATCTCAAATGATTCACCAAGAGAAAATACAATCAAGAATGCCATTGAATGTTACTCACATGGATCGCATGACTAGCTCTGGAAGCTGGCAAGGTGAGGCAAGAAAGCTGGGGCTTTCACCAGTTACGAAAGCAACGCAGCAGAAAGGCTTGTCCCATGTTTCTGCTGGAGTCTCAATGCACAAAAGCCAGTAACATGCTGCAGTAAAGACTTTGGTCCCTCTTTGTTGAGTCTGTTGAAGAAAAAACATTTTGTTAAGGAGCCCTCCTCACCAGCACATTTTCAAATAGCCTCTCTTTCACCCCACAGAAGCAAAACTAAAGGTCCACAGATGAACACGAAAACAGTGATACTTCTTATGACCTATATTCACCATTTGTAAAAGTTGTTTTCATTCAAAATCTGTGTAAGTGTTGATGTGAATTTCAGATGAAACCCACTTTCTGAGAGTCTCTCATTTGACTGAAGGCAAATGAAAGCAAGTCCTAGAAAGGAGCCTTGCTCATTGCTCACAGACATGCTCTGCTCACACCATGGAAGGAACCCTTCCCAAACAGAATTATTAATGGCTAAAAAAGCCACATTTAGGCCAAAACATGGGCCCGAGCTCAGCAGAGCAAACCAGGGACTTCGACACTTCCTTTCACATTCAGATTTTGGCCCAAGCTTGCCAAAACCTAAGTGGCCAGGCATTTATTTCTTCAGGTTAAGAGCTTCGAATGGGTGCCAGACATTCTTATCTCAACAGATCAGATCTGCCAGGAACCTGCACCAGCAGGCTGGTTCACTGTGAACCTAGGCACTGTTACCAAGGCAAAGACTCGAGCCCAAACTGTGTCACAAGGAAAGTCGAATCACCTGGTCCCCTCTGGAAACCACTCACACCGAGAGCCCTCTCTGAGCACGTGTGGCCCCAGAGTTTCACAGAGAAACAGGACTCAGCAGCTTTGGCAGCATCCCTCACCCTGAAACCCGCAACGCACAGCTGCAGGGGAGTGGGTAGAGAGCTACAGAGAACAATAGGACCTGAAGCAGGCTGTGAATCTACACAAAAGTTCCTACTGCTTCATTCAGCATTTACTTTTCCGTGGTCTCCTCCAAACACCTGGGAAACCCCCTCAGAGGTGCAGCTGCTTCTGAAATCTCAGGACGCTTGCTTGGGACGTGAAGAGCATGGGAGGCTGGACAGCTTTCTGTGCCACCTCCAGGACCACCTGCAGACCTCACCTCATCTCTCCATTAACTCCCTGCCCAGACTGAGAGAAAGGACCCCATTAGGAAGTCTAGGGAAAAATAATTAGGACAGGGTTGGGGCAAATCCCTATCAACAACGTCCCACAGGATTGTATCTTTGGCTCGCTTCCAGACCATGCTTTTGAATACAGTTTTTCTCCCATCTTATTTGGATTCTTGCTTTTTTTATTTCCCTTGGGAGCTTCTGTCAGAATTTAATGACACATTTAATAATTTCACCCTGACACTTTATCTTCAGTCCTTTGCCCCACTGTCAAAAATTCCCTCCTCTTCACTGCTGGTCACCGGTTTTGTATAAGGCCACTCAAACCCCACTCAGTTTAATGACTTTAACTGAAAGTAGCATTTATTTGTCCCTTTTCATCATCAACAGCAGGGATGGAGCTGTGTGACCCACCTCCAGAGCTACCAATGGGACCCTGGGATAGTGGAAACACAATAAATAAATAAATAAATAAAGCTTTGAACCCAGTTCAGAAAAGGAAACCTGTTGCATCTTCATTTGGCCCTCCTGTTTAAGAGAGGGCACAAGATGTTCAAACTGATTTTATATCTAGATAAAGAAAAAGGAACTAAAACCCACCCCTTTACCTTATCAGCTCTGGTTCCTGGCCAGGCCATGCTCAGAAAACCTGACTTTCAGTTTGCAAAGCTGCACCGTGGGGCCTGCAAGGAGAATTTCTGCCAATTTGACAACTGATTAGACAGAATGGGAAAACAAAAAAACAACCAAAACAAACAAACAACAACCAGACTGAAATGCAGAAATAAAAGCTTGGTAAGTGGAACCACGACAATCCCCATAAAACAAATGTGTAGAGGTGAAAGTGCTGCACTGGAAGGTGAATTATGAATGTTGATTGTGGTCAGCAGGAACAGAAGAAATTGGGATTTCTGGTCAGTGCCAAGGGAGCACCAACCAACATCTGTTCTGAAGTGAGGTGAAACTCTAGGATTGAGTGTTGGGATTCTTTCAGTGTCCTTGTGCAGAATTGCCTGCAGGAACTGAAAACCAGAACCCTGGGTTCTCTGTAACCAAGAGCTCAAGCCTCTGCTACAAGCAGACCACCCTAGAACTGCCTCTGTGGGGTTTTATTATCTCCACTGGAAACACGGGGCTCCCAGTCACCCTAAGACAAGGATCCTGGCATGACTTTTTCTCAAGTCTACTCTTGTTTCACTATTATTTTAATTCCCAAGTAGCAACAAGATTAAAGGCTGGTTTAAAAACATCATACCTCAAACTAGAGAAATCCTGAAGACTGAAACACTCCTAGGAGAAGGCACATTTATCCGGCAGCTGAGGGAGCTGAGAGTTATTAATTACATGCTCCAGGAATCTGAATCCGTGTCCAGGACATTGTTGTGTGTCACTAAACAGGCAAATCAAGGCTCAAAAAGGAGTGTAATTGTAAGACCCAAAGGCTCACACTCTCCTCTTTCTGCCCCATATTGTCCTTGCAACACTTAATACCACACTCGCTGTTCCTCCACATACATCTATACCCTTTCATTTTTAGTGTTATGAAGACAGTACAAAATCAGAAAAGCAAACTGTTGGCATTAAGAAGGGCTATGTCAGAAAGCGTGAGCGACAATTTTCTCTGCCGTCACGCAGTTAGTGAGATAAGGGCTTCATGTCATGAAAAAAAGCTGCCTTTTTCTGATTAAAAAAACCAAAAACATCACTTTGGGAAGAACGCTGTGGTTGCAGCTCTCTTTCAGGACTCAGAACGACACAGATGTCATCTGCAGCCTCTGCAACTCGGTGGAAATATTTCCACTTTCAGAGAGATACCCACATGTGCACTAGTCTTTAGACCCAGAGGTATCTACCAAATATTTCTTGTTTGTTGAAGGGAAACGATCCCTGTGATGCAATTCCCGAGCAATTCTCCTCTGAATGCAAACCACAGCACTGAGTTTGAGTCCAACACCGCTCTCCTGGCTCCAGCAGGAGCTGTGTCTGCCACTTTCTGGCAGCGCTCCTTGTCTGAAACTGTCATCGACAGCATCCAAAGGGGCAGTGCAGCACAAGCAAAAGCTGGAATTTCGGTAAAACCAGAACCCAGCTGGTGCAGTTGGTGGTTCCCCTGGAGGTGCTGCCGGTGCTATTCGCTGGGTGAAGCTGCCACCTGCCGGGCAGCTCCTCTCCTCCTCGGGGCTCGAAGGGGGCTGGCAGGGCAAGGAGGAGATTTGCAAATGCAGGCACCAACTCTCGCAGCTCAGCCTCAGCAAGGTGCTCCCTAACACTCACTGCAGCCAGCACTCAAGTAACAGCCCAAGGGGAAGACAGCACCTTGCCTTACAGCCTGCCACAACTCCTCCGGTCTTCTGGTGCCAGGGTGGTATCAGGAAGAACATCCCCAAAGGCAGGTAAGAAAATAAAAATGTCTGGAAACAGAGCAGAGGAACCGAAGCTACCAGCAATTACACGCCTCAGGACAGTACGATGGGTGTTGCTGTTCAGGAAAGGATGATGAAAGCAGCACGGCTGCCGTGACTGTCAGCACTGCACATCTCATGATGGACTGAATTAAGGAGAGAGAAGAAAAAAAGGAAAAAAAAAAATGCATTCATAATAGTTCTCAGGGAAAATGCAATGCCTTCAGCTCGATGTTTCAGGCATGGCTTCCCACAGGCAAGGCCCTCAGCAGATTTTATAGCACAGAAACTGCAGGATGTGAGAAGGCCACAAAGCCCTTGCATGCTCAGCTGCTTTCACGAATTGCTGTACATTTACAGCTCCTTGCTGTCCTGCAGGGGGAAGGGGTTCAAAAGAGACAAAGCCATGCCAGGCGTATGGTTTGGGCAGCCTCACACCTCCAGCAGGGCTGGCAGCTCGCAGCTCACGTAGCCGAGAGCCAACGACAGCGCCAGGGCCAGCAGCTGAGAACAACGGCCACTCTGTATGGGGCACGGCAAGAAAAGGGCTTCTCACGAGGGAATGAGCTGGGAACGCACTGGAGACACGGCATGTGCAGCGAGGAAGCCAATCCACCCTTGGCAAGTGAGAATTTCTGAATGGTTTCAGAACCCCTCAGGCACAGGAGATTTTCCATGAGTCGCACAGGCCGCTGCCAACACGTCGGTGAGGGGAACAATACGGCCCATTGCTGCGGCTCACGCGCTGAAATCCAGGAACAAGCTCAGATTCAAGTTCAGAGATAGCCTCTTTTGTCTCCCCAGATCCTGTACGGTACATGTGTTAGGATTTGAAGCCATTTCCAAGGCGAAGCAATGCAGCAGCAGGCTCAGCCAAACGCGGGTATGACAGCGGCAGCATTCTCAGGCAAACTTCTTTGATGTTCTGCTCTGATTTCTGGTGAGAGCAGTCAGCTAAACAGCTGTCTCCAGGCAGATTTATGGCACGCTGCTATGAAACAGAAAAACTATTTGCAGCCCTGAATTTTCCGGTATCCATCTCTGTCTGTAAACCTTTTATTTAACCCTGATAAAAATGGCGATTTAAAACACAGCAGATGTTTAGAAATTTCATCAGCATAAGTCATGTAAGCAGCATAGCAGCAGCACTCAAAGAATGCATCTAACAAGAAATGCTGCAGCCACAAATTTTCATTTATAATACAGCACTGACTGCCATCTGATCACCTATGATACATATTTTTGAGTAATCCCTCATCCATAGCAGTGCAGAATGATGGGCCATTTTCTTTTACTCCAGCTGTACAGATTGCATTTAATTAATATTGCCAGTTTCCTGGAAATTCAGGGACTTTCCTTCTGTAGGGCTCAGCTGTGAAAACTGCCCGCTTTTTTCCAACTCTCACTGCATGGCCTTTTATTGTATTAAATGCAGGTGCCAAACCAGCGATTATTGTGCTTGAGGATTCTTGTGTAAATACCAATAGCAGCACCTAAGTTTCCACTTTACCCTCTCCATCATTTCTCTTTCACTTACCTGTCTGTAGTTTTGCCCTCACTATCTTTACAGCTTATTTTAAACACGATTTCACC